ATGTAAATTCCCTTGTCCCCTCTTGTATAATTTATTATATAATTTATATTCAATAACATTATTAAGCCTGAATTATTTACCCTTTGCCTGCTAATGGAAACAAATGCTACCCATGTGACCAGTGGAGACCAAGATCTACCAGAAAATCCAGAATACAGACAAGTCCATTTAAAACATTAAGTATGCTGATGCAGGTTCATAACACAATCATTATACAGTTGCACATGTAGGTATTCAACCGTACACGAGGTATTAAATATGGTTCCTAAGACACCCTTTAAATAAATCAAAAGAGTGCAATTTTCAACTTAAGACATTGCAATCAATATGCAAACAGTTTAGTCATACTTCCCAATAAACATACATGTACCTCTAAATATAGCAGGCATTTCTAAAACTCAATATGAGAAAAATGTTTTGTTGTTGTTTTTTTTTTCATATTAAGAATTCAAAGAATTACCATAAAAATTAAGACTGTAATTCTGCTGATTTTAGATGATTATGTTTCAAAATTGAAACTATCAAAAAATTAAAACAAAAATAACCTTTATAGCCATTCTATCAGAAATATAATCAAATGTACCAACTATTACTTTAGGATATACTCATGAGAAATTTCACAAGTTCTCAAATTTCAGATACCAGTCAATGTTGGTAGTATTATCAAATTAACCAAGAGCTGACAGACAGCTTATCCAACTTTTCTCAGTAATTGATACAAAAAACATAGAGCTTGAATATTATTGCAGGAGTTAGCAAAGGGAAATCATTCAGTGAAAACCAAAGCTAGAGTTATGGGTCTTGGTCATACAGTGACCTATAATTACAACTAAGAAGACATGATTGTGTGGTGATTGAAACAAATAACTTCAGCAGTCATGGAAATAAAACATGCAATTACAGAACATACATGAATGTGTCTTGGTTAGTGAACTACAATTCATTATGACCCTCAAGACAAGTGTGATGTTTAGAACTACCTGCTGTGGTTATTAAGATATGCATCTGCACAAAGAAATTAACCAAATGTTATGCCAGTGCCAGGGACTTTGGATTCTTTTATAATGAAGCTATCCGATAACATGTACATTGTAGCTTACGAAACATTAGAGGTTCTCCTCAGGTGCCCGGTCATGCCTGAAATAATGTATGGAGGGGCACCTGAGGTCAACCTCTATCAGTACAGGTGAAATGTCGCCATATGACATCTACTCTGTCCGTGTGCAACATTAAACTCAACAATGTGGGGTGAGTAGGGTAATAGTCTCTCTATTCTTCTCACAGTCAAGCTACATGTAAATTGGCCTTATTTGAATGAAAGACCCCACAGAATTGTTATTGTTTTTCTGTGAAATTATTTTCAAAACTAAAATTGATATCTTTGTAGAAAATAATTCAATCTCACACTGCAGAGTGAATTTCAGTTGTTGATTGAAAGTATAAAGATGTAAACAAATCCATTTTGGCTAGGAAACTTTTTTCTCAAATTTATGATTTTTAGAACTGCAATTATATCTATTTTTATTTGAGTTACATTACAAATCATACTGACAGTGGAGTGTCATATACCACAACTTCTTAGCATTACTTGTGGAGGAAACCCCGCAAGTGCCTTTCAGTGCATTGTCTTAACAACTATTAAACATGTAAATAGAACCATAAACTTGTACCTTGTGATAGCTTCTTCAGTACATTGTATTTTGGAAACATGGCCAACACCTACATATGGCAATGGTATTTTTAGGGGATTTTGCAGAAAATAAGGAAATCGCAAGTATGGCGGTTGTCCGAATTGTTCATATTTTAAGGGGATCTGGCAGAAAATAAGGAAATCACAAGTATGGTGGTTGTCTAAATTGTTCATGACTTGTACATAGATATACTCAGTACATGTACCTCTTTAGGAAACTGAACTTGAACACTGAAGAACTTGAAAATTAAAAACTGCATACAAAGTTTGATACTTATCTGGAGATTCTAAAATTAATACTATAATAGTCTAAAATGGAGTGATGTGGTACATATAATCATTAAATAGAGGATATTGAATGAGTGAAAGATTAATACTGAATTTATTGCACGAGTTGAATAAAATTATATTATGCGAGCCTCTGGCGAGCATAATATTATTCTGTTCAACGAGTGCAATAAATTCAGTAATGAACTTACACGAATTTAATATTCTATTTATCACATACCAAAAATAAAGACCGTTTAAGGTGAAATAAGAGTCATATTTCATTGACGCGCCTATAGTATACAGGGTTCTCGGGGACGCTTATTTCGGCGTCCCGGTACGCATGTTTATTGCAGCTGGACGCAAATATTTCAGAGCAAGGATTCCACGTACGCTTAATTATGCCCGGGGACGCATAAACATTCCCGATTGTTTACAACCACAAATACACAAATGCGTCAGCGCGTGTCAGTCTATAGGTAGGCGGTCCTATGCACATCGACCCGTGAAGCAATTAGCCAATCAGCGATAACGCTTCCGATCATTATCACGCAATAGTGGTCAGACTAATGTATACACGCGCTGTACAGTACATGTAATTACCAGATATATCACGAGGTGATAATTTTATATCTTTGATCAACAGTTGATTGGAAATAAGCAAATTTTACCGACAAAAGGATAAAATTATCGACTATTTACGCCGCAAGTTTAAAGACTGTTTTCTCAAATTACAATTGAGGTTAATTTTGAATGATTGTCGAATATTTTCGGCATTATAATGATTGTCGAATATTTTCGGCATTTTCTAGGCACAATTTTGCTTTAGTTTCATTCTTGCAAAAACTTTCTATAAGAGTATTAAGAATTTAAGATATTGTGCCGAAATGCCAGGTACACATACGCGTTTCTCTATCCGAAAATTGATCCCGAACATCGGCGATTTCACGTTCGCCAGAAACCCTAAAATTTCGCAAAAATTCTCGGTTTCCAAGCCAAACATGCGAATGAATTGTTTCTTTATTATTTAATCAACATTAAATCTTTAAATGTCGATCTTTAATTTGCCCCCTTTTGAAGATATTTGCTAAAATAATCGTCGATCGGATGAATCTCTTACACACTGTGTGAATCTGTACACGATTTTCCTATTCATTCCGCTAAACGCTGCTTATATACATTTACGTTTTTTTTTAACAAATACAAACTTTTTGTCTTAAGAGTGGACTTATTTAACCAGAGAAAAATTTGATTTGGTATAAAAGTGGAAGAAAAGAAAAGATTTCCATGGGTTGATGCATTATAATGAAATAATTTCATAATAAATATTAACAACAAAACAATAATTATACTATGTAGTTCAGAGTTTCTTTTGAATAACTATTTACTTTGGAAGTCTCTTGAACATTCAAAATATCAGCAATGCTATTGTGAACATTGAATGACTAATTAATCTGTAAACATATTAATTGCGACGCGCTTTTGGACTCCAACTTTTTCAGGGTTGGGAGTCCATGGACTCCATGTTTTAAAGTCCTAGTGAGAACCCTGAGTATAACGCTAACATTTAGCGCGTCTTTACACTATGTTTGTATAACGCTAATGACGTCACGTCAAAATATATGCACAGCCGTGCAATACCATATTTACGGAGTCGCAAAATCGACACGGGTGTGTGATAATTCTATATATTGCAGTTGGTATATCTTCTCAACTAACAATGGCATCTAACATAATTATTGTATTTAATCTTAATATTGAGGTAGGTAAATCAGCACTGTAAACTGGACATGTGTTCAGTACCCCAGCAAGCACTGAGTTCATCAGTTTTAAAAATTCCTGGAAACTCTGATAACATTGGAAACAGTGATACATGTATATGATATCTATGAACACTACTAAAAGAACTAACCCTTAGCCAACCAGTGATGGCAACTGAATCTTCAATACAACAAGTGCAGACCAAGATCAGTCTGTGCTGTCTGCTCAAGGTCTGCACTATACACTATACAGTAAGTGCATACACATATCAAAAAAAATAAAATCCCTAAAAACAATAATGGTTTTGCCCAGTTAGAAAGATGGGAAAGTCCATTAGATACATTCAGTGTGGTAAAGGTTAATCAATTCACTATATTCCATGAATATGCATAATAGTTTTTTTCTCAGACAAAAGCTTAAACATTCTTGCATTTCATTCATGTAGGTCATTCTGTACTTCTTACCGGAACATCTGTCAATAACAATACTTAACTTCAATAACTCAAAGCTGGCAAATTTGACATGTGCCGCACTTTCTAAATTTGAGGTCTCTGCAACTTCTTCAAAGTCTTAATACGGGGAAGTCAAAGGCTGCAGTCCCGGGCTTTGGCTTGCCCGCCTACAGCTAGACTACATACATGTGTATATTCAAAAGAAAACCAAAAAAGTCCAAATGAAAACAATTAAAGATTATATTGAATTCTATACCTATCAATGAAATTTTCAGTGTCACAGGCACCGCCATTTTCAATGTTACTCAATATGATAATAGGCGGGGTATTTCAGTAACGAACAATCACAACTTTTCGGATTAATCATAATTGTTGAATATTTCGAGTGAAAACGGATCCAGATGCAGTGCACAAAATACCGAATGACACTTTTAAAATTGAAAAATGAATGAATTCTTATCTGACTTCCCCGTTCATAGGCTTAGCCTAATTTCATATATTATTACGAACAGGTTGCTACAAAATCCTTCTTATAAACTGATATCATCAGTTACACTTTTCCCTTTGTTATTGAAAATTTATCCTTATGATAATAAAAAATTACTGGATACAGACTTAGATACTATTTATATATGGTTATCTTCACATTTAACAATACTTTGCCTCATTTTCTTAGTCAATAACATCCATACTAACCAAATGATATGAGTAGTAATGACAAAAGTAATCTGAGACTAAAATTACCAAATTTGTGAGTTGACTCACCCAATAATTTGCTCTCAAAACAAAAACATCGAACTGTGTTTAACAAACCGATAAATCGAACATACCTGAGGCACCGCAGTCGGCACACTGGTCCCCCGCCGTCCTCACTTTACCCCTCGACATTAGGACTGTCAAAACGGGTCTACCAAACCCCACAAATAAATAATTTAATCGTTAATTTCCCCAATTGTCGGATACTCTTTCATCCTTCAGGATCTTAATTGGGTCCGCAGTTTCGTATAATTTGATTGTTTTATTTTTTTAGTAATTTTTCATTTACATGCTCACAAATATTATTGTTTGCAATTAACTATTTATTATCAGTTATAAAATTGTAATTGAAAACTACAAATAAAAATATATTAAATCACATTAATGCATAAACTAAACGGTGGGATGGGTTGCAATTGTCAGTTACTGCGGCATTCGCGGAATACCTCGACGTTTATTAGCAATCCTTATAGGGCCGAAAAGTTGCGATTATATCAAGGATTATGAAATTTTGCCAAGGGATTCAAATGGATAAGCCACATAATGGACACGGTTATTACAAATGAATTTAGTCCCAGTCAATAAACGGGGTGGGGGAGGGGGGTCCCAGTCAATACACGGGGGGGGGGGGGGGGGGTCTCAAAATTAAGCACCGGTAAAAAAATGTTGTGCATTTCCGCTAAATTTCCTTATGTGCATTATATAATACCATGTGTGAAAGAGAAAAAATGTCAATCAAAGGGTAAATTATCAACATTTCAACTTTTAAACACGTAAATAAAATTCAAAGCCTTTTTATTACCTGCTTTTCGGTGGTTTATAGAAATATATCAGTGAAATAAAAATGGTAATTTCACTGTTTTAAACAGTGAAATTATCAATTTGATAATTTCACTGTTTTGAATTTAAGCCCCTTACGTTGTTTCAGTGAAATACCAGCGTGCACAGTACTGGGAACCAACTTTATGACGTTGTATTATTATTTGGCGCGCTTTTCATTCAGTTTTAGGTTTAATGTCTTTTTAAAACGTTTCTTTGCATATAATAAAAAGAAAATTTGTTTAGTTTAGTGTAAGATCGAAATATATATTTCACCTTGTGAACACCAAAAGTTCATATTTCACTCGTGGCTGCGCCACTCGTGAAATATACCTTTTGGTGCTCACTCGGTGAAATATATTCCGATCTTACACTAAACTAAACAAATATCCACTATTTAATTAAAATTTAAATGTAATTAACCTATAGCTCTTCAGCGCTTCTTATGTAAAATTCTTCCAAGTATAATTTCCAATAACCGTAAATTATACTTCGTCTCGTGAGGTTAAGGCATAAGAAAGGTCACGTGATTATGGTATAATTTACGCAAACCCAGAAATCGTCAACGCAGCAATGGTATATCTATTACTTATGCCGGCGAAGAGTAATAAATGGATTTTGAGGTTGGATCGATGTGGCCAAAGAGTACCTTTATTTTGTAAAATAATATTTGTACACATCAAGTTTTGCGAACCCCGAAATATAAATAATATTTGCATGCTCGCTTAATGGGAGGTGCTGCTCCCACACATCCGCTTTTTATTTATTTCTTTTAACTTACACACAACTGAGAATAACACATTGTAACATAATAGCATAATTACAAGCTTGATAATTTTAATATTTATGAATTCCGCTAAACTACATTCTATCCAAGTTACGAATTTAGATTATTCATTTAGATTGATATTTAATGTTTATATATGAAAGAGATTCGTAGTTTTGTAGATGGGTTTTCCATATCACCTTTTGATCTCTTCAGCACATATGAAGCTCGTTTGGGATTTTGACCAACAATTCCTTTTTTAGCCGAATCGCAATAAAGGGTTGTTTGTATGTTAAGCATCATTAGGTTGTATAAGATTTCGGTTCCGTTTTTTTTTCGTATGCATGTTCAAGACAGAACCCACGACGGAAAGCATATCTCGACAAAGACTGTATAAAAATCCAAAACAAAATGGGTTAATTAATGTAGAGGAGAGTCACGAGGGTAGGATCACATTTATAATTTTCTTTACAAAGCTTTGAATTTTACATAAATGTTAAAAATTTGAAAACTTACCCTGTGATTGACCTATTTTCTTTTTCACATATGTTGTTATTAGTGGTGCACATCTTTAGCAGCGGAAATTCACATATATTTTTATCACATATATTTTTTATCGATGCTCAGTTTTTTGGGATCCTTGTGGTCCCCCCCCCCCGTATATTTACATCTTAGATTTCCGCATACGCATATTTGCTTATTCAGAAGAACCTAATGTTTGCAACGACGTAACATATGACGTCAACAAATAAGCAAACGACGTTTGGTATAGTTTGGCGCCAATTTAGGTATTAGCTCTAATAAATGCAGTCAATAAATGAGGTACCTACACAGGACTATTAAAACTTGATTTTTAGACAAATAAAATACATCAATCTAAACCATTTGGCTCTTTTAACATTTAATTTATTGTTAAATACGTTTACTTTAGTTATAACAAACAAAAGTCAACATGTATTTTTATCACTAATCAGATTCTTATAAAAGTTGTTATAAGTCTGGTTTTCTTAAAAGCTACCATAATATAGTTTTAGTATTAGACACCACTATCGGGAAATATATTATAGATCTATTCACGTTTCTGATTTTTTTTGAACACATGTATTTCAAAATATTTCATTTTCGGACTATGTATTTACCTCTCATTAAAGGCCCATTATTCTTCAGAAATGCTTTTATTTTTATTTCACAAAAGCTGTTTTGAACTTTGGTGTACTTTTATTGTATCAAAAAAGTTACTCATTGGCCATTTACCTAAACCACCTTTTCAGCTGTTGCTTACAGTTAGAGTTAATAAGTATTTTGTATGGAAGTCAAAATGCTACTTTGTTTACATTTTGCTACATTTATGGCAAATTATATCAAAAATTCACGTTTGCCCTTTCTAAAGAAGTAGAAATGCATTTGTTTCTGAGATTTAATGTGACTTTAAAATCCGATCATCGTTTTTATCCCGTTACTCTATAGTGTTACATGAGCGTCAGATAGGGTGTGATTTTAATTAAACTGACCCTTTATTATATTTCAATACAAAATTGGTGAAATTGAAATTTAGTTCACACAAATAAACAAATATATATATTCGTAACCGGCATCTTGTTTCAAAAATGACTGGTTTTCAAATATTCTGAGAAAATAGAAATCCCTAAAGAACGCTCAAGACGGCAACCGCTGTTTACTCGAAACTGTTAATGGACGGTACTGGAAAGTGCAAGCTAACGTTCATGCCCTCTAGCACCGCAGAGTTTAACATTTTACATGAAAAAACAACAAAGGTTGAAACACTGAATTAAGTGTAACGTCGTCTAAACGTGCGACACATTTATACAATTTTATTACATGCTTTTCGGTGGTTTATAGAAATATATCAGTGAGTTAAAAACTGGTAATTTCACTGTTTGAAACAGTGAAATTGTCGATTTGATAATTTCACTGTTTTGAATATTTGAGCCCAGTACGTTGTTTCAGTGAAATACAAGCGTTCACAGTACTGGAAACCAACTTAATGACCTGACGTCGTAAATGACGTCACGTTATATTATTATTTGGCGCCCTTTTCATTTAGTACTAAGTTAAAATGTCCTTTTAAACGTTTCTTTGCATATATAATAAAAAGAAAATTTGTTTAATTTAATGTAAGATCGAAATATATTTCACCTAGTGAACACCAAAAGTTCATATTTCACTCGTGGCTGCGCCACTCGTGAAATATACCTTTTGGTGCTCACTCGGTGAAATATATTCCGATCTTACACTGAACCAAACAAATATCCTCTATGTATTAACATACCTGTGCCGCTTTTGCGGCTCCATAAAAAGGGTATTGCACGACCGTGCAAAATTTTAACGTGACATCATTTGCGTTAAAACGAACAGTGTAAAGACGTTGAATAAAACAAAATTATGCTCCCCATAACTCTATTCAACCCGTTCAATTAATTCAGTGTTGAAATTACATTCATTCAATATCCTCTAATGTATTTACTGTATGCAAAGTCATTTTAAAAGTCTTGATTAAAGATAGAAGACCCTGATTAACATGATTAAAGGTAGTTCAACCGCGGGAACACATTAAGCAAATGATTTGGTAGTAACATAAGTACAAATTTTCATTGAATATTTAGAGAAAATAGAGTATTTCAAAAATATTGCAAAAGAAGTCCGACAATCACAGAAATCCAGATGAAATGCGATTAGATCTTATGTTTGAAATACGTCACGAATCGGGCTCACATGTATATCGTTCTTTAAGAATTTTAATTTTGGTGACTATGTAGTTTTGACAATTTCAACACGATATATACAGTAACGAAATTATAAATTGTTAAATACATTTATATATTTCCTTAGTATATGTAGATGCCTCCAGACCACATTTTATATTATGCCAAATATAGTTTCGTACTTTAATGTCGTAAAATTGCATATTTTTCAAA